AGTGGTGGCGGCTCAGAAGGCAGATCATGGAGGGTCTAGGTGTCTTCTCTGTCAGTCTTTCACACAATCACCAGACTCAGAGTCCATGGCTGCAAAGCAGAATCACTCACAGAGCTCGGGCTCCACTTGCGGATTCTGAGTGAGGTGAGGCTGCTCTCACCGCACCGGCGAACACGGAGGCCGCCATCTTGCAACGCTCTCTCTGGAGTTTTAAATACCACCTGGGTGGTCATGACACCACATTTAAATCTCTAGTTCAGATTTCTTGATTCTTCTCCCCTCTAACCCTGTTCACCCCATTCTTTGAAAGTTGTTTCATTGCCTTACCTAAATGGCCAATGAAGTCAAAATCTAAATTCATATTTGATTCCTTTTTCTCCTTCACTCATTGCAGCCATTCCATTAGCAAGTCTTTTTGATCCTATTTCCAGAATCTATTTCGAATCTATCCGTTTGCCTTTATCATTATGGCTGTAGCAGTAATGCATACCTCTCCCATCTCTTGCCTACATCCTCCCCTGTTAGCCTCCCAACTGAGATTCCAGTTTGCCCCCTGCCAGTAGCCACCCAGCTTCCAGCCAGTCTTCTTAAAAAGCATTGTAAAAGGGATCCTGTCAATTCCCACTTTAAAAGCTTTCTCATTACTTTAGCCAGCAGGCTCTGCAAACACATTTCCTAGAGTCAGATCCTGGTTTCACCACTTTCTAGCTGTGGAATCTTGGGTAAATTTCATACTCCCTCTGTGTCATAATAATTGTTGGTGAAGTTAAGATAATTCATGTAAAGCACTTAAAACTATGCCTGGTGTTCAGTACATGTTCACAATTATTATTAATGTTATATGGCCTCCAAAGCCCTGTTTTCAGACTTCTTTGGGCCTAAGGTCCCAGAATAAACACTTACTCGAGAATATCTTTCCCAATGCCCTTCTTCACAGTTGGATTTATCTTTACTTTTTCTCCACCTCAATAACCTAGTTCCTTATTTTATACTGCTTGCCATCTCTGATTGTCTCTTTCTTCTGTTTATTGCCTGTCCTCTCCCCTAGACAATAAGTTTCATAAAGTGGGGTCATGTTTACCTTCTTTATCATTTTATCTCTAGTACATAACACAGTTCTTGCTACATGTTGTATTTGTTGATAAAATAGAGAATCTCACATTCTTAGCAAGACTGTTTGGAGATTGATTTTTTTGGCTATCTTTTCATTCTGATTCACCTTGTCTTTGAATAGAATAGAACATTTCTTTGTAATGCTGTAATTTGTTTTGTATGTCATGAGGGAGAATCTTATCTCCCTCACTTCAAGCTTCTTAAATAAAGACTAAACTGGAGAAGAGAACAAGATATTGGTAATGGAATTTCTTTGGCTTATAAAATAAGCTTTCTCATATTTGAGTATTGCACTTTTAGTGTGTAGAATAACTTGTGACTCTCAAAATAAATTTTGAAGCATGATATTGTTCAGTATCAACATCATCTATTCTGGTGATTCACTTCCCATCCAAAGGATATTTGTTACTGAAGTACCTGAAAGGTTTTAAAATAGTCCTTCAGAAATAAGCACTAAAGATGGCATTGTAGATGTATTTCAATTGGAATTAAATTATATGTGTTGAGAAAAAGATTATTATTATTTGAGTGTTATTTTAAGTACCTTTCTAGTGTCTAATATTTTTGTGTCAACATACAAATAATTGGAAAGAGTACACCTGATAGAAAGTGGGGACTTTTCTTCCAGATCACAGTCATATCAAAGAGTTGCTGACAATTTTCCTTTGTTTCTAAAATGCAAAACTTCTTTAAAGATACAGTCTAACATATAACCCTTTAAATAGAAGTTTTAAATTTATTTTTCACCTTGCTACTTTCAATATTTATAATCCATTTTTGCAAGCCAATATGCGGTTTTGGTTTAGATCCTTCTCATAAAAATATTTTCCTTAGGACAAAAAATATTTTCAACAAAAGGGAATTTTTTTTAGTGTACACCTTAGTATTATTAGTCATCTTAGCCTTTACTCTTGGTTCATTGGTTATGTAATCTTGGTTATATAAAAATGTTCCAATTTTTCTGTGAGGTAAAATGAAGAGATTGAAAGTTTACAGTCTTTAGAAGTCTTGAAAGTATTGATAACAAGAATCAGATTTTCAGTCAGAATTACTGATATATTGGCTTGATTAAGGGAATAAAACAGTTTTTTGTGATAGCTTCTGCCTCTTTAATACACATGAATGACTTGTATCTTTGGTTAAATGATAGTATATAAAATGTCAAGTGACATAAAAATAGCATATTATAAATGAAACCTAAATGTTGATAGATTTCTTTAAGTGCATTTACTTAATTTATTTTCTTAATCAGATCTAATAATGAAAAAGTTCAGCATACAATGGACAGTTCTCTTAACTAGCCTTTCCTCTTCTGTTTGTCCTCCCCTCCCCTCTGTTACAGTAAAGGCATATTAAATCAGGTCTATGCAATATTATGTTTCAGATATGGTTTTAAGTGGAATTAACTGATTTCACATCTAGTGTATGACACTATATGACAGTGACAGTTGCTCAGTCTTATATGACAGTGACAGTTGCTCAGTCTTGTCTGACTCTTTGCAACCCCATGGACTACAGGGGTTCTCCAGAGTGGGTAGCCTTCCCCTTCTCCACAGGATCTTCCCAACCCAGGGACTGAACCCAGGTCTCCTGCATTGCAGGCAGATTCTTTACCAGCTGAGCCACAAGGGAAGCCCAAGAATACAAGAGTGGGTAGCCTATCCCTTCNATCTTCCCAACCCAGGGACTGAACCCAGGTCTCCTGCATTGCAGGCAGATTCTTTACCAGCTGAGCCACAAGGGAAGCCCAAGAATACAAGAGTGGGTAGCCTATCCCTTCTCCAGATCTTCCTGACCCAGGAATCGAACTGAGGTCTCCTGCATTGCAGGTGGATTCTTACCAACTGAGCTATCAGGGAAGCCCCTAGGTTAGCTTAAAACATCAATAGTAAAACAAAGGCCAGAAGATCTCAGTAAACAAAATGGTATATAAAACATAGGGTATATAAATTACCTTTAAGCTTGCTTAAAATTTTTCTAAAACCATTTAGTTTTTGTTTTAGGTATTTTTCATTAGTTCCTAGTATAATATTAACATTAGAAAGCAAGCAAAAATAGTTTTGATCTGATTCTTAGAATGTACTTTTAAACATGATGAGCTCAAGGTGGCAAATAAAGATACACCTGTTCTCATATAGGGAAATACTGGGAATTATGGGTGATTGCCAATGTCAAATGCCAGAATAAACGCATGTGTCCCGTAGGCAGTGGTGGTCTAGAACCATTGGAATCATAGTTCTTCAAGGAGTTGATCAAATATTCTGTCAGCCAATTTAGCCATTGAGGCAGTGACAAAATCTCAGATGTTTAGTTTTGTCTAAATATCTTTACCATTTTGTGGAACACCTCAGTTGAATATGTAGGAATTTCTTCCATTTATTTTACTTATCTTTGTTAGGCTGAAACTTTTAGTTTTTCTCCTTTTATGTAAATGGTAACTATTCATTTACATTTTTAAGAAATGTAAATTTACATATTTCCAAGAAAGAGCATGTAATCTGAGCTAGTCTTCCCACCATGTTTGTTTGTAGCCTTACATCTGTCAGAGGGTAAATAGTTGTATTTTCCTTTGTACTTTTTATTCATGTAAAATTTCTTACAAGCCGTAACAGAGGTTAAATTCTCTTTAAATATTTTTATTTTACAGGAAGTATCATGGTTCAGTAGAAAAGATGTCGAACTTAAGTAAAAATTGGTTTTCTCCTTGATAAGTTTATCAACATAATCTTGGGCAAACTGTTTAAACCTGTCTCTCTTCTTGATAATGAAATTGAAACAAATGACAATTGCTTCTGCATTTATTTCGTCAGCTTTGCAAGTATCAAATAATATGATTGTAAAAGTATTTGGTAAACTGTGGACTATTCAGAATTGATGATAGTAACATAAGATTATAAACTTATATGCAGTCTTTATAAGCTCTGCTGCTGCTGCTGCTGCTGAGTTGCTTGTCCTGTCCGATTCTCTGCGACCCCGTGGATGGCAGCCCACAGGCTCCTCTGTCCATGGGACTTTCCAGGCAAGAGCACTGGAGTGGGTTGCCATTGCCTTCTCCGCTTTGTAAGCTCAAGAATATGGAAAAGAGCAAGACAATAACAATTTTATTATCCCTGTTACTGAACATAAACAAGTTTTTGATGCTGTTTGAAAAATGAATTCAATAATCTTAGAGTCTTCTGTGGAAAAACACCTTAAGCCCATATTAAATGATATTTTTTCAAAATATTTATTTTAAATATTTTAAAATAAAACTTTAATATTATAAAAATTAGCATGAACCAAAACAGAAGGCTTTACAAGAATTAACAGAGATAGATTCATATTCACATTTTGTCAGAGATACAGTGAACACTTTCTTTTTCGTATGCGGCCACCTAGGTAGCCCATCTGCCCTATTAGTATTGTAATGTTAAAGGTTAGCATAAATTACTATTAATCACATCTTCCTAGTTCTTGGTTTGGTTAATAACCCTTGGAATTACAGAAAAACAATGTATGTTTGTGTTTGTTCTCTGTATATTAGTAGAAAAATAATCTACATAGTTTTGAAAGGAGACCAGTTTAAATGACTTGTTTACCACCTTTCAGTTTACGTATATATTGCTTCAGTCTTGGAAAAATACTAGACACTGTAGGCCTACTAAATGAGTCACTTTGAAGATACTTTTTAAGAGAGATGTAAACACTTAGAATGATTTTTTCCTTGTTACAATGGCAGCTTTTTTATTCTGCTAAGTATCTGCAAGATTTAAGTGATCCAAGTATGTTCTTGTTTTGACAAATTAAATAAATTTTAGTTCTTTCTACTCTAGCTTGGGCTCTAAGTGATTACTGTAGCTGAAGCTTCAGTCTGCTTTTAATACATATTCGCCCATTTCATTTTTTAGGAGATTTTATGAAGATGGAGCAATTGTCTTGGGTGAGGAAGCAAATATGCTTGCTGGCATGCTCCTTGGACTCAATGCTATTGATTTCAGGTACTTCATCTAACTGTATGTATTCTGATTTAAAATTATTCTACCTCATAATAGTTTCTGCTTATGATTCTTTTCTTTCAGTTTTCTATGTAAAGCATGCAGTTGGATATTGGTTTGATTTGTGTTGTTCCCTTTATAATGAGATCAGTTTTATAAATAGGTTTGTTCTAAGAAAAGAGGCTGTCTTAAATTTAAGGAATTAACTGACAAAACTCGTTTGCTCTCTGGCTTGGGAAAAAGAAAGCTTGGACCACATCCCTCCGACCAAAAAAATCGTATATTCTGGTAGCACTGAAGGAAGGTTTTAGATCTTATCTCAGTATTTTTCAACTACTGTTTTAAAATGAAAAAGAAATATACTAATGTTGATTCATAGCCAGAAAGATTTTCATTTTCTCATGTGGTGAGATAAAGAGGATCTTGACAGGCTGTTTTAGATACCTTATGTTTCTTGTTTTGTTTCTGGAGTATTAAAATTTTTGTTAATATTTGCTTTTATTATCAACAATTGAGTTGATTCCAGACTAAGACTACAGGTACTGAAAATGGACATTCTAAGTTCTTCGTAGGTTGTTTGGAGCATCCTTTTGCATTTCATTTATTGATCTAAGATTTTACATTGTACTAAAAGTAAAAGGTTTGTCTATAATAAGAATTCAAACCTGAGAATTAAGGATTATATTTTCATTGAAATATATCACTTAAAAATCCACTGTTAACAAATAAGCATAAAACTTAAAAAATCTGCTTTTAGGTCTTGAACTAAAAAATATTGCTCTCGAAAAAGAGACTGTCTTAAACTTAAATTAACTGAAGAAGGGTTAATTCAGTCAATTCCTTAAGTTCCTCTGTTTAACTCGTTACTTTTTTCTAGTAAGTCACTTCTTTTTCAAAATACTTTTCTCTTTGTAAGTGTAACTTTCCTCTATTTGAAATTTGATAAAGTGGGATTTGGTTAATTAACTTAATTGTTGGGGATGAACGTGGTGAATTCAGCATGAAGGCTGTCTTCATGATTTCTCTAAGGGTGTTGACTTTTTACCGTATGCTGCTGACTCTGTCTAAATCCTCTACAATTTATTTTTTGGCTGAAAACAAAACTGGGATAATAGTATAAACTCTCAGTTTGTTGTAGCCAACTGATATTGTGTAGAAAGCAAATGTCTTAATGATACATTGGTAATGTTTTTGTAAATGAAGGAGAGCCCATATAAAATGTGGCCACTTTGATTCTCTCCTTATTCAAGTCTGGAAAAATACATCCTGCATCCTTGATATTAACATATTAGAGTAAGTATTTTAGCAGGAAAACTTCCCAGAGGAACCAAAAGGTAGTAGTTTATATATGATTTTTCTAAGCAGTCAGACCTTTTTAGGAAATATTCAGTGTCACCTGAGAATTTGTATGTAACTGAGAACAACTCTTCATTTGAAAATACTCCAGTGACATCTTTGGAGTCTAATAAAGACCAAGATGAAATGAACTATGTAAATAGTACAGATTTCTCAGTAAACTTTACTTTTGCATGCTGTATGTATGTAATAGTGTTATTAATTTTTGTAAGCCCTTGATATTGAAGGTAGAATTATTTTTATTGAGGTGATTATAACAAGTCACATTTAAATTACAAATAAAAAATTCATCTGCAGTTTGATGAAACAAATGTCTCTAACAAGACTTGTTTATAACACTGATTTAAATTTTTATGTATTAATATATTTATTGTCTGTTGTCTTAGCTTCTGCCTAAAGGGAGAAAGATTGGATGGCAACCTTCCTGCTGTAATAGACTATATACCATATTTAAGGTTTACCCAAAGGTATTTGATATTTTGAAATCTTAATTTATAGTTGAATGTCTTATATAATATATTCATCTGATTAAAATTACCTTTTATAGAACATTTATTTCAGTACCAGAAATCATTCAAAAATATAAACTCCAGTTGCATTTTTAGTATATATATAAATATATAGTTTTTATATAATTATAACCATGGCATAAATATAGTCTTTAAAAACAGTATCTATTTCTACTTCTGTAGTTAATATAATAGCATTAATAGCTCTATACTAGTCCATTGAGATTTCAAAACTATAATTATTTAGATTGGTTTTCATGTTATCTCCATTATAATGAAAATAATATGAACATTTTTGTGCAAATAATTTTGTTTCTTTTGTTAATTTCCAGAGTTATTTAGGTAAGTACAATGAAAAATGTTGTGACTCTTAAAGTCTGTTCTTAGTGTTGTATCAATTTATCCTAATACCAACATTGTGTGAGAGTTAGAGGTTTCCCACAATCTTATCAGCATTAAAAATTAATCAGATGAAATCTAAAATTTTTCTTAAGATCTGCTTGCATAATTTATTTCCCAAATAATTATATATTTCTGAAATGTTATGATAGGCCAAAACTGTAAGGGAGAGAGAGTGAGTAATATATGTCTGTAAGTAAGAGATTTATGTGTATACATACACAGAAGATGCATTTATTGAGTGTGTAAGGCAGGAAAGGCAGAGGAACCAGAGATCAAATTGCCAGCATCAGCTGGATCATCGAAAAAGCAAGAGAGTTCCAGAAAAATATCTATTTCTGCTTTATGGACTATGCCAAAGCCTTTGACTGTGTGAATCACAACAAACTGGAAAATTCTTCAAGAGATGGGAATACCAGACCACCTGACCCACCTCGTGAGAAATCTGTATACAGATTAGGAAGCAACAGTTAGAACTGGACATGGAACAACAGACTGGTTCCACCTTGGGAAAGGAGTATGTCAAGGATGTATATTGTCACCCTGCTTATCTAACTTATATGCAGAGTACATCATGAGAAATGCTGGGCTGGATGAAGCATTAAACTGGAATCAAGATTGCTGGGAGAGATATCAAAAACCTCAGATATGCAGATGACACCACCCTTATGGCAGAAAGTGAAGAACAACTAAGGAGCCTCTTGATGAAAGTCAAAGAGGAGAGTGAAAAAGTTAGCTTAAAGCTCAACATTCAGAAAACTAAGATCACGGCATCTGGTCCCATCACTTCATGGCAAATAGATGGAGAAACAGTGGGAACAGTGGCAGACTTTATTTTATTGGGGCTCCAAAATCACTGCAGATGGTGATTGCAGCCATGAAATTAAAAGATGCTTACTCCTTGGAAGAAAAGTTATCACCAACCTAGACCGCATATTAAAAAGCAGAGTTGTTACTTTGCCAACAAAGGTCCGTCTAGTCAAGGCTATGTTTTTCCAGTGGTCATGTATGGATGTGAGAGTTGGACCATAAAGAAAGCTGAGCACCAAAGAATAGATGCTTTTGAACTGTGGTGTTGGAGAAGACTGTTGAGAGTCCCTTGGACTGCAGAGAGATCCAACCAGTCCATCCTAAAGGAAATCAGTCCTGAATATTCATTGGAAGGACTGATGTTGAAGCTGAAACTGCAATACTTTGACCAACTGATGCTAAGAGCTGACTCATTTGAAAAGACACTGATGCTGGGAAAGATTGAAAGCAGGCAGAGAAGGGGATGACAGAGGATGAGATGGTTGGATGGCATCACCGACTGAATGGACATGAGTTTGTGTAATCTCTAGGAGTTGGTGATGGACAGGGAGGCCTGGCGTGCTGTAGTCCATGGGGTCCCAAAGAGTCAGACATGACTAAGCAACTGAACTGAACTGAAGACAGGAAAAAAACTTTCCTAGGTTTTTTCTTAGATGTCAAGAATATAGGAACTCTGTAAACTTCTATAAAGGAATACAATCCCTGTACTGAAAATAATCACCGTCTAGTAAGAGAAGTCACTATGATTTCAGAGCTAGGAGTGTGAAGATTTTTTAGATGATGAAGGAGAAGGAGGAATAGAGTATTATGGTACAAAGATTTCTGACTTAAGTTAGGATCCCTTGGGAAATGGGTAATTTTGTTACATTAGATCTGGAAAAGAAACACACCAAAATGTTTTGAACAGACATGAAATTAACGGTTTGGGGATTTACTGGATTCTAGGACACTTTGTGGAGATAACTAACAGTTCAAAATAATACTAGTAAATATGAGTAATACTATTTATTGCATGTTTATCAGACATTGTTGTTAAGTGCTTTACTTCTGTTAATTCATTAATCTCCTCAAAAATCAGTGAGGTCAGCACTGCTATCCTTATTTTTAAGTGAAAAACTGAAACAGAGAGGTTAAGTAATTTGTCCATAGACACACAGCAGATTTGTGCAGAGTGGGCCACAGATCTGAAATTAGAGAGCAAAAGGACAGTTGGAGATAGGAGTTTGGTCATCAGCATGCAGATAGAAAGGCAGTTTTTAGTGCTTTAGGAAATGATTTAAATTAAAATATAAAGATAATTATAAATGCAAATTTTCCTCTCTTCTTAAATGAGAGAATGTAGTGATTATTACAGTGCCTTTAAAAAGATACAGTCATGGAACCTTCTCACCTGGTACCCTCAGAATGAATTTAATGATCTGTATTCTGTGTCTCCAGCTGCTTAGTCAGCTTTTGTCCAGTTTTTTTTGCAATTTCCTCTTTCTGTGCAGTAATCCAAACATATATTTATTCCTTTGTAGTCATTATATAACAGAGGATTCCTGCCATCTTGTTATATAAAGGATACAAGAACAAGAAGAGAAATATCAATTCAACCTAGTCATAACCCAGCTACCATTACTGACCATGGAGGTTTTCTTTTTAGAAAGATTTAAACTATCCTAATAGTCATAAAGAACCAATATTTTAAAAATTGAATGACTTCCACCAAAATGTACTGGTATTAGACATGTTTAAAAATTCTATTTGATGCCTAATTATAAGAGTCTCAGTTCAGTTTTCAGTCTCTCAGTCATGTCCGACACTTTGTGACCCCGTGGACTGCAGCATGCCGGGCTTCCCTGTCCATCACAAACTCCTGGTGTTTACTCAAACTCATGTCCATTGAGTTGGTGATGCCCTCCACTGTCTCACCCTCTGTTGTCCCCTTCTTCTCCCACCTTCAATCTTTCCTAGCATCAAGGTCTTTTCAAATGAGTTAGTTCTTCACATCAGGTGGCCAAGGATTGGAGTTTTAGCTTCAACATCAGTCCTTCCATTAAATATTCAGGACTGATTTCCTTTAGGATGGACTGGTTGGATCTCCTTGCAGTCCAAGGGACTCTCAAGCATCTTCTCCAACACCACAGTTCAAAAACATCAGTTTTTTAGCGCTCAGCTTTCTTTATAGTCCAACTCTCACATCCAGACATGACCACTGGAAAAACCATAGCTTTGACTAGATGGACCTTTGTTGGCAAAGTAATGTTTCTGCTTTTTAATATGCTGTCTAGGTTGGTCATAACTTTTCTTCCAAGGAGTAAGCATCTTTTAATTTCATGGCTGCAGTCACCATCTGCAGTNGTGTGAGATGAGTGCAATTGTGTGTTAGTTTGAGCATTCTTTGGCATTACCTTTCTTTGGGTTGGAATGAAAACTGACCTTTTCCAGCCCTGTGACCACTGCTGAGTTTTCCAAATTTGCTGGCATATTTAGTGCAGCACTTTCACAGCATCATCATCTTTTAAGATTTGAACTAGCTCAACTGGAATTCCATCACCTCCACTAACTTTGTTCATAGTGATGCTTCCTAAGGCCCCCTTGACTTCACATTCCAGGATGACTAGCTCTAGATGAGTGATCACACCATTGTGATTATCTGGGTCATGAAGATCTTTTTTGTATAGTTCTTCTGTGTATTCTTGCCACCTCTTCTTAATATCTTCTGCTCTGTTAGGTCCATACCATTTCTGTCCTTTACTGAGCTCATCTTTACATGAGTTCCTTTGATATCTCTAATTTTGTTGAAGAGATCTCTAGTCTTTGCCATTCTATTGTTTTCCTCTGTTTCTTTGCATTATTCACTTAGGAAGACTTTCTTATCTCTCCTTGCTATTCCTTGAAACTCTGCCTTCAGATGTGTATATCCTTCCTTTTCTCCTTTGCCTTTCACTTCTCTTCTTTTCTCAGCTATTTGTAAGGCCTCCTTAGACAACCATTTTGCCTTTTTGCTTTTCTTTTTCTTGGGGATGGTCTTGATTACTGCCTCCTGTTCAGTGTCACAGACCTCTGTCCATAGTTCTTCAGGCACTCTGTCTATCATATCTAATCCCTTGAATCTATTTCTCACTTCCACTGTATAATTGTAAGACATTTGATTTAGGTCATACCGGAATGGTCTAGTGGTTTGCCCTACTTTCTTCAATTTAAGTCTGAATTTGGCAATAAGGAGTTCATGATCTGAGCCACAATCAGCTCCCAGTCTTGTTTTTGCTCACTGTATAGAGCTTCTCCATCTTTGGCTGCAAGGAATATAATCAATCTGATTTTGGAATTGACCATCTGGTGATGTCCATGTGTAGAGTCTTCTCTTGTGTTGTTGGGAGAGGGTGTTTGCTGTGACCTGTGTGTTCTCTTGGCAAAACTCTATTAGCCTTTGCCCTGCTTCATTCTTCATTCCGTACTCCAAGGCCAAATTTGCCTATTACTCCAGGGATCTCTTGACTTCATAGTTTTGCATTCCAGTCCCCTGTGATGAAAAGGACATCATTTTTGAGTGTTCTAGAAGGTCTTGTAGATCTTCATAGAACCATTCAATTTCAGCTTCTTCAGCTTTACTGGTTGGGGCATAGATTTGTGATATTGAATGGTTTGCCTTGGAAACAAACCTAAATCATTCTGTTGTTTTTGAGATTGCATCCAAGTACTGCATTTCAGACTCTTTTGTTGACTGTGATAGCTACTCCATTTCTTCTAAGGGATTCTTGCCC